AGTAAAGGCGATGTTTCTGAGGAAGTGTCCTCTCAAACTACCTCCACAATTGCTCCCACTGCTGCCTCCCAACTTGTCACTTCAGTTCCCGAGAGTTCTAATAATCTATCTCTTCAAATCACCACCCACAAGTTAAATGGAAAGAATTTTCTCAAGTGGTCCCGATTGGTACTAATGGTCTTACGAGGAAAAGGAAGACTAGGCTATTTGGATGACACAATTCTGTAGCCTAAAACAGGAGATCCTTCGTATGAGAATTGGGAAGCACAAAACTCTATGGTGATGGCATGGTTGATTCACTCTATGGAAGACAACATCGCGGACACCTACATCCTGTTTCCCACAGCCAAGAAGATTTGGGATGCAATCAATTTGGCTTATTCTGATTTGGAAAATACATCACAGATGTTTGAACTAAGGAACAAGGGAAAAAATTTGAAACAAGGGGAGAGTGATGTCACACAATACTATCATGAGTTGACAAAACTCTGGCAAGAGTTAGACCTGTTTTCATCCCCTTCATGGAAAGACCCTGATGATGCAGTCATGTATAGAAGAATGGTTGATCAAGATCGAATATATGACTTCCTCGCTGGACTTAACAAGGACTTGGATGAAGTCCGAGGTCGACTGCTTGGAATGAGACCTCTACCACAAATTGAGGAAATCTTTGCAAAAGTACGTAGAGAGGAATCAAGGAAGAGGGTCATGCTCGGAGGAAATATGCAGATCTTGGAAAATTCTGCATTGGTTGTCCATGGACAAAAGAAGCAAGGAGAAGAAAAAATTAATAAAAAGTGGTGTGATCATTGTAAAAAAACCATATCACACCAAGGAAAACTGCTGGAAACTACATGGCAAGCCGGCAAATTGGACACCCCGGAACCGTGGACGTGAAGGAAAGGGATTTCAAGCAGCCATTGAGAAGACTGAAGAAGAACCAACCACTGCAGCACTTGTTTTTTCTAAAGAGCAGATGGAACAAGTATGGCAAATGTTAACACAATCATCGTCCCACTCACCCTCTTTTATGGCTCAGAGAGGTAAAGCACTAATTGTTTTTCATGGCTTGGTAGAAAAGGAAAAACCATGGATTATTGACTCAGGGGCAATGGACCATATGACTGGGTGTGCAAAGTTGTACACCACAGACACTCCTAGCGCTGGAAACCGCAAAGTGCAGATTGCTAATGGAACCTCTTCCGTGGTAGCCGGTACAGGGACAATAAAAATTGGATCCAATGTCACATTAAAAGGGGTCCTTCATTTGCCAAGTTTGAGCTTCAATCTCTTGTCCATTAGTAAAATAACCAAAGACTTGGATTGTGAAGTAATATTCTTGCCATCTATTTGTGTTTTTCAGGACCGATTATTGGGTAACAGAGGTTTCACCTTGTCGGAGATCATGGAGAATGGTTTCCACACCAAATAGTTCAGAGGTGTTTTCTTTGCTGGAGTAGGTATCTTTGGTAGCATCCCAAATTTCTTTGGCAGTACTATAGAGAAGAAAATTTTCTCCAATATCATTGATCATAGAGTTAATCAGCCAAGACATCACCATGTTGTCCATAGCCCTCCAAGACCGGTATTTGGGGTCTTTTTCTCCTGGTGAAGTTGACAGGCCTGTGAGGTGGTCATCCTTTCCTTTCCCACGAACAAACATGAGAACGGATTGTGACCACTGCAAATAGTTATGCCCGTTCAGCTTGTGGCTTTGATTGGCAGAACTCCACTGCTGTCCGAGCCTCCATTGATCCCTGCCACTGGGGTTTCCTGACTGGAGGTAATTTCTGAAGTGGAGCTTCCACGGTCTGCTGCCATGCCATATTTGGCCATTGAATATTGGACTAAAGGAAGAAGGAATGAAAAGAAAAGGGACTACTGGACAGAGTCAAAAACCAGGCTCTGATACCATAAAGAAATGAATGAAAAATTATAATACTTTTCATTGATCTGGAATGGTAAAAAGCTGCACTTATATACAAGAGTGTGGCCTGATCTACAGCCTTATTATCAGGGAAAATAAAGGTTAATTTCTAGTCTAACGTAATCAGGAAATATCATGATATATTTCCTGATTTCCTAAATCAACTAAATAAGGAAAGATGACAGCTAGAGGCCTCTACAGCCTGTCAAATCTATAGCCTGTTACAGCTGTGAATGGGCTGAATAATCCGGATTTTAAACAATAATTAAATGTTAATTCCCAATTTTCAATTGTGAAATCGTTTATATTCTTCTACAATTCTTGTCTATGATTATTATTTCAAGTTGTTTGGGTGGCCAACTAAATGATGTTTGATAATAATCTATCGCCAAATTAGGGTTCTTGATCCGGAGTTGTCTAGAATTCTAATTACATGTGGTAAATTGTGATTGATGATTATGGTCAAGTTTTTATGGATTACAATGTAGAATATAGGCCAGGTTGAATGAATTGCGCTTGTTGAATTTGTTACCTTGATTAATCTATCTCTCTCTTGCTTAATGCTTCCATTAAATTGAATTTAGAACGCTTGTTTTCTAGGTTGTTTGATGGGAAGAGTTTAGATAATAGCGCTTACCTTTCTTTAGCAACAAATTAAGGAGAGATTGGGATAACAAAGCATATTGTTATCTACGATTAATAATTTCACTTGAGAATTGGGGAATCATATTGATGTCAACTCCTGGATGATTGTTTAGTGGTGGAGAGTGAAACCTTAACCACTTGCTTATCATTGATATCTTTCTTATTTATCTTTATTAGTTAATTGTTTAATTTGTAACTATTAGTGTAGTCATTCAAAACCTCCTGTTATTCATTTGTTCAATTTAATCTTTGGTTTTAATAATAAATTAGCTTAATCAGTCTTCGTGGGATCGACCCTTGCTAATGCTATGCTTTAAAAATATATTTTGTAGTAAGGATTTAAATTTGGTACGGTTAACGACACGCATCAGTGTCTGAGGCACTAAGTCATGAAGAATGGAGGACTGCTATGAGAGTAGAGATGGAAGCACTCGAGAAAAATCAAACATGGGAGTTAGTTGAGTTACCAAAGGGAAAAAATTCAGTTGGTTGCAAGTAGATCTTTACTGTAAAATACAAAGTAGATGGGTCTCTTGAGAGGTATAAGGCTAGATTGGTGGTGAAGGGTACACTCAAACTTACGGAGTTGACTACCTAGAAACTTTTGCATCGGTTGCTACAATGAACACCGTGAGGATATTATTGTCATTGACAGCAAATTTTGAGTGGAGTTTACAACAATATGATGTCAAGAATGCCTTCTTACATGGTGATCTTGAAGAAAAAATTTACATGGAGATTCCATCAGGATTCAGTTTGAATCTAGATAGGAAAACAATGTGCAAATTAAAAAAGGCCTTGTATGGATTAAAGCAACCCCCTCTGGCCTAATTTGGAAGATTCACCAAAGTTATGACAACTATGGGGTATAAGCAGAGCCAAGGTAATCATACTCTCTTTATTAAACACTCCACTTCAGGGGGAGTGACAGTGTTGTTAGTGTATGTGAATAATATTATTGTGACTAGTAATGAACTTGAACAAAAGGAAGTCTTGAGGAAGTGTTTAATGAAAGAATTTGAGATAACGGAGGTTGGAAGATTGAAGTATTTCCTTGGCATTGAAGTTGCCCACTCCTCGGAACGGCATTTTTATTTCACAGCAAGAGTATGTGCAGATTTTTGTTGAAGGAAATTGGTAAATTGGGTTGTAAACCAGCCGAAACACCGACAAATCCAACCAGAAACTTGGTGAAGCACTTAGAGATACGATTGTGGATCAAGGTACTTATCAAAGACTTGTTGGAAGATTGATTTACCTTCACATCCTCAGCCTGATATAGCCTATACAGTGAGCATGGTAAGCCAATTTATGCATAATCCGTAGAGGATTCATCTTCAGGTAGTGTACCGGATCATTGAGTACTTGAAAGGAACACCAAGGAGAGGAATCTTGTTCAAGAATGGAGGAAGTTTGACTCTTGAGGCGTATACTAACGCTGATTATGCAGGATCTATGGTGGATAGGAAGCCAATTTATGCATAATCCAAAGAGGATTCATCTTCAGGCAGTGTACCGGATCATTGAGCACTTGAAAGGAACACCAAGGAGAGGAATCTTGTTCAAGAATGGAGGAAGTTTGACTCTTGAGGCGTATACTGACGCTGATTATGCAGGATCTGTGGTGGACAGGAGGTTAACATCCGACTATTGTACCTTTCTTGGTGGTAATCTCATAACCTGGAGGAGCAAAAAACAAAATGTTGTTGCAAGGTCAAGTGCAAAGGCTAAGTTTAGAGCAATGGCACTTGGAGTGTGCGAGCTGCTATGGATCAAAAACATTCTAGAAGATTTAAAGATCAAGTGGGAAGGAACTATGAGACTACTGTGATAATAAATCTGCAATCAACATTGCAAATAATCCGGTGCAACATGATCAAACTAAACATATTGAGGTTGACAGACATTTTATAAAGGAGAAGCTAGATAGTGGCTTGATTTGTACTCCATTTGTAGCATACGGGAATCAACTTGCAGATGTGCTGACTAAAGGGCCTGCTAATCTAGTGTTTCAGTCAATTATAGGCAAGCTGGGAATGGACAATATTCATTCACCAGCTTGAGGGGGAGTGTGGAAGATCACACACGGATATTCCAGATAAGAAAACCACGTATTTCTGTAGTTAGTTGTACCTAGAATAGGAGATTCTTTTGTTAGAAAAATCCCTAATTTGTAGGGATCTGATTTAGAGTAGTTTCCCATTCTGATTATGTATATATTAGCTGTGTTGTATCGTTTTTCTAATAATCAATGAAAATTCCATAATTTTCCCCATTTTTCCGCAGGTGATAACAGGGAACATTAAGAAGAATTTTGTAGCAAGACAGGATACTTCACGTGGAGTAAGTCTATCTAAAATTCATAAGAAAGCTTCAATATATAAAGGCTAAAGCATATGTACAGAAATATAGCTTATACAATCCTTACCTAACCAAAATGTGCATCCACTTGATGTTGTATGGAGAAGAGCCTTGACATGGAATAAATAGCGTTCCATGGACCTCTTGGTAGCAGGAATTTTGCTAGTTATAGCAGTTTGTTTCAAGCCCTTCCAAAAATAAGGGAAAACATCAAGAAGGAGATCCTAAACGGTCTCCAAAAGTTCAGTGGAAAAAGATACTGACCTTTGCTTCAGAACATAAGGCTTGTATAGTTCTTGTGGCCTTCTGAAGCTCTTTCACCTAATTGTTACCAAAAAGCATTAGATTGAGCTCCCTTTTAGGATGTATTTTGATGTGTCATAGCTTACCATTTGGATTATGGACTCCTTATGGACTTCAAATTGAGCACGCAAGAAGTCAAAAACTGGACAACAAAGAAAGCATAAAAACCTTAGCCAGTCATATTCAAAGAACCTAAGGTAAAAAGTTTCAAAGGTATACCTTTCAAGAAAGAATCAACAAACTTTCCACCATATTTGACGGCCATAGCATGCACAGTCATCTATTTCATCATGTAATGTCAAGATTATTTTCACTTGAAAGAAATTAAAGCAACATTAAATAAATAAAATATCATTGGATAAATAAAAATGGAGAACATAACAAACGTTTCAAAAACAAGACCAGAATCTTTCTAAGATAACCTTGTCAGATGTCCTGCAAAGGGTAACTAATGATACCACCACATTTACAGAATGTTGTAGCTTGACGAATAATTCTTCAACAGTTTCACGTTGAGCATTGGCTCTAGGCTTCCCATGGAGAATGGCTTCCTTAACCTAATGAAGAATATAAATCAGTTCTTATTCTTTGAACAAAAAAACACTAGCAGTCACTATGATATTTGAATCAAAGACGTATCTTCTACTCACCAATCTATTGAGAACATTCAAGTTCCTTTCATGCTGCAAAAAATAGCATATTTTATCAACACCCGAAAGAAGAAAATTAACCACAACATAAAAAAGAAAAACTCAAGATGCCTTACCAGTACCCTGTACCATACAATGAATGTTGCAGAATTCAGAGTTGGAAAACCACAATTATCTTCTTCCATTCTATTGCCCGAAAAAGCCTAATGAAAGATAAATCATACAAGTTACAACATTTTAGTATCTGGTTTAGATGAAAGCAATAAACTTTAGCAGGTGTACAATAATAACAGACATGTTCTTCAGTCAAACAGAGTCACATATCTAAAACTAGTATATAGATTGGAGTAACAAAGAACCCAAGTCAAATTCTCATCATTCTTATCAAAAGTAAATTTTCAAGAGACAAATGACTTGGATGTTAAACAATCAATAGTACAAAGAATATTGAACCAAACATGCACCTCAGAAAAACTAGAGTGAGCTATCTCAGCGAGCAAAGCAGAAGTGGGATCACTGTTTTCCAAGTAAATGCGAAGAACCTTTTGAATCATGTCACCCTGAAAGCATTGTAACTTCAAGAATCAAGACCATAAATTTAGGCATACAACAACCGTCTAGATAATTTCCCAGTCAATGCCAAAGTGCAAAGAATATGAGATACAACTATCAAAAGTCATACTTTGTCCTTCCAACCATTCTCAAGATTCTCAGTATCCCATGCATGCCTCAAAAGCTTCTCAGCAGAAGTTCCAAGTTTGTTGCATAAGATAGGAAGAGCCCCCTTGATAAATTCTGAGTTCATCTGGTTACCATTTTCCTCCTTGAACTTATCTGCGAATTTTTGGACTGAGGTTGCAATTGACTCCAGGGTAAGAAGAGATTCAGAGGCCAGCATAAAGGAGAAAGAACAAGCTGCAGGGACAAGATGTAATTACATAGGAGGGTCAAAAATATGTGGCATAAAAATCACAAGGCAGCGGTAATGAATGCTAACCTTCATTCAGGACAATTTCAACATATGAGTAAGCACCGAAATACAAGTACTCTGCAGTCCCAGGAGAGAGCTTCATCTGCACGCCTGAAAAGAAATCATCTGGGATCTTGACAGGCTGGAAGGCTTCGAGAAGGTTTAAAACAATTGCTTCGTTCATCTGGATTTCAGGTAAATTAATTATCTACAATAAAAAATGATGATGAAAACTTTATTAGTCTTGATGATAGACTATAGGTGTACAATTAGCTAGATAAGATGATTGATAATGGCCTAGAGTGCACGGAAGAGAATTTCACCTCACGAAAGTAATGAAGTATTTCTTTAAGGACCAAAGCAGACACTGAAGATCTTGTAAGTACAAACATGGGAATATATGGGTTCCCAGCGGAAGCAGATTGAATTTTCCAATGTTCTTGACAATATCCATCACCTACGGAGTAAACTTTTCATGATTAAATAAATGTTGAGTATTCTTCTGAGGTTTGTCCAGCTAACTTGGTTCCTAATATTACCTTCTTTAAATAAACGAACAGCACTATCCAAGTGCCTCTTAAGACTTGGAAAAACTTGTCTAACTTTGCTTAAAAATTGATTTACTGTCAACCTGGTGAACCCGGTTGGAGCACTTAAGAATCTACATGAGAATTGTTTGCTGGGAAGGGTGAAATAATCCAGCTTGTAGCGAAGATCACGCAGAAGGTACAGAAATAGTGGTAACTAGCACCCGTTGAAGATACAAAGAGAATTATTTTCAAATTATGTAGTAATTTTCTTTTTAAAAGAAAATAGATCAATTGCCAGATAGACATCAAACAAATAGTTACCTCAGCAGCAGGATCAGAGCAACAAGAGTCCTGACGCTAGCAGAGAAGAAACATCAAGTAATTACATCATTATTCGACTAAAAACTTAACCAAATGGCTTTGTGAAAAATGGAAAGTTGGATGAATTGTTTCTTTTAGACAAAAATCCCTAGAACTCGAAATAGACAATGTTGGTAAGCTGCAAGTATCATGTTTTACTCAAATGGGATGATAGGGGCCTTTTCTGATAAACATTTGTCCATTGGATTTGAAAGTTTCTGATATGATAAGTTTAGCATACCTATCCAAATCATGTAAATGAACTGACCCAGCAAATGATATTTTGTTCAATCACTGTACTTCTTTGAAATGCAATGTAGACAACCGAGAAAGATGGCTATTACTTTTTGTAGAATTATGTAATTAGTTAGGAAATATCTATATTTATCTTTTAGTATTTGTTTCCTTAATTGTTTAGGTTAGCGTATTACGTAGCTTTCCTATTTTGGTGGGATTCCTAATTTAAAGGGATTCACTTTCTGTTTCTCCTTCCCTAGAATTGTGGACTGGAATGCCGGCCACTCTAGGTTAAATACTCATCGGAAATCACCTCCACACCCGAGCCACTCTTCAGCCTCTATCATCAATGATAATTCCTCTCATCCTGTCACAAACCATAAACTCCAAGGCCATAATTTTCTTCAATGGTCACAGTCAGTTTTTATGTACATCTGTGGTAGAGGAAAAGATGGGCATCTCACAGGCGAAACCTCTGCTCCAGAAACGGCAAATTCTAAATACCGAGCCTGGAAAACCGATGATCACATGGTTATGTCATGGCTCATAAATTCCATGACCACGGAGATCGGAGAGAATTTTTTGCTCTACAGGACAGCCAAAGAAATCTGGGAGGCTGCTCGTGAAACATACTCCAGCACCGAAAACTCATCTGAATTGTTTGCGATTGAGACCAAACTGTACGACCTACGACAAGGAGAATCAAGTGTCACTCAATACTTCAACAATCTCACACGTTGTTGGCTGCAATTAGATATGTACGAGACTTATACTTGGAAGTGTCCTGATGACTCTGCCTTATATCGGAGAATTGTTGAACAGAAAAGAACCTTCAGATTTCTTCTTGGTCTCAATAAAGACCTAGATGAAGTCAGGGGGAGAATCATGGGGATTAAACCCCTTCCTACCATTCGAGAGGCCTTTGCAGAAGTTAGACGAGAGGAGAGTAGGAAGAAGCTGATGATTACAGACAATCAAACTACTCACCCTGTTGAAGGGTCAGCCTTGTACACTCACAACTCATCTCACAACTCATCTCAGGACCTCCCGAGGGACAATAAATCAAGGAGGGGACGCCCATGGTGTGAGCACTGCAAGAAGCTTGGCCACGTAAAAGACACTTGCTGGAAATTACACGGTAAACCTGCGGACTGGAAACCAAACCGGGAAAGATATGCGAACGCTGCTGTCGCACCAGAAAACAATGGAGGGACCAGTCCATTGACCAGGGAGCAACTGGAAACCCTGCAAAAACTGTTCGGTAATATTTCCTCCTCCGCTCAAGCATCACAATCATCTACCGAACAACCAACCAACCTATTAGCACACCAAGGTATTCCCTTCTCTGCCCATATTGTGCATAATAGGACACTGAAACCCTAGATAGTCGACTCCGGAGCCTCCGATCATATGACTGGAGACATCAATATTTTCCACAATTACATCCCATGCACAAGTCAGTCAACAATCCGGATTGCTGACGGGTCTTTCTCAGCAGTGGCAGGAACTGGTTCAATCGAATTAACCAAGGATCTTCATCTTTCTTCAGTCCTTTATGTTCCGAAATTAGACTGCAATTTGCTTTCAATTAGCAAACTTACTTGTGACTTAAACTGTGTGACTAAATTCTATTCAAACTTGTGTGAATTTCAGGCAGCGTATTCGAGGAAGGTGATTGGCAGTGCTAAGATGCATGGTGGTCTATATTTGCTCAAAGAAAATGATCCTCTGGATAGACAAGTTCATTCGTCAAGTTGTGTTTCTGAGTCTATTTCTAATTCTGTCAGTTTTGTTTCTGAGTCTATGTCAATTGAGAGTCAAGTAATGTTATGGCATTTTCGCTTGGGTCATCTGAACTTTGTATACCTTGAAAAAGTGTTTCCACATTTGTTCATCAATAAAAAGTCTAATTTCTATCAATGCGAAACGTGTCAGCTTGCAAAACACACCAGACATGTATATTCTAACCTGCCATACAAACCCTCGAAACCATTCTCCGTGATTCACAGTGACATTTGGGGGCTCTCAAGAGTAAAAAATATAAATGGAGCCCGTTGGTTTGTTTCATTCATAGATGATCACTCACGAATAACCTGGACATTTCTTATGAAAGAGAAATCCGAAACAGCATCAATATTTCAATCCTTTCATTCCATGATTTCCACTCAATTTCAAAGCAAAATTCAGGTCCTTAAGACAGATAATGCCAAGGATTATTTCAACTCCATCCTCGGTCCATATCTCAGCAAACATGGCATCATTCATATAAGCTCTTGTGTTGATCCCCCTCAACAAAATGGGGTAGCCGAGAGGAAAAATAGGCATTTGCTTGAAGTGGCTCGTTCAATTATGTTCTATAATCATGTCCCGAAACATTTTTGGGGGGAAGCAGCACTCACTGCCACATATCTCATAAATAGGATGCCCAGCCGAGTTCTTAAATTTCAAAGCCCACGTCATGTCCTCATTAAAACCTACCCACATATCAGATCCTTCTCCTCGGACTTACCACTGTGTGTCTTTGGTTGCTCTTCCTTTGTTCATATTCACCAACAACATCGCACCAAACTCGATCCCAAGTCACTTAAATGCATATTTCTTGGTTACTCCTAGAATCAAAAAGGGTACAAATGTTATTCTCCTATTACTAGGAAAGTGTACAACTCTATGGATGTCACCTTTTTTGAAAACTAGCCATTCTATCTCAAATCCGAAATTCACAGGGGGAGAATTCAAGGGAATATCAGATTTGGGATACTCTTCAAGACACTCAGGCAATTTTCACTCAACCTGTCATTCAAGAGTCCATTCGAGAGTCCTCATTAAATGTTGAACCAAATTCTGATGCTCAAACAGCCCCACTCGAAGCCATTCCTCATCAACCTGACACTAGCAATCATGAACTCCGTGTCTATTCCAGAAGGAGAAGACCCATTGAGCACATAGAAGACACTATGCAAAACCGGGGCTGTCAAGAGCCAGAACTAAGTCCACCTGCCTTGGATACTCACACTGGTACGAATTCCTTATCCCTTGAGTCTCTTGTACCTCTCATTGATGATTCTTCTCTACCAATTGCACAAAGGAAAGGTATCCGAGGGTGTACAAGTCATCCCATTGAAAGATATGTAGCTTATGGGCAGCTGCAACCGTCTTACAGGGTTTTTGTGTCAAAACTAGATAGTATGCAGATTCCTGACTCTATCCAAGAAGCATTAAAAGATCCAGCGTGGAAATGAGCGGTCGAGGAAGAAATTCGGGCCCTAGAGAGCAATAATACATGGATTCTTACAGAATTACCTTACGGGAAAAAGGTTGTGGGTTGCAAGTGGATATTCACGGTAAAGTACCGAGCAGATGGAAGTGTTGAGAGGTTCAAAGCTAGACTTGTAGCAAAGGGCTTCACTCAGTCATATGGGATTGACTATCAGGAAACCTTTGCCCCGGTTGCCAAGCTGAATACGGTGCGAGTCCTTCTCTCCTTTGCAGTAAACCGAGATTGGCCTCTACATCAACTTGATGTTAAGAACGCCTTTTTAAACGGAAATCTGGAAGAGGAAGTCTACATGGACATACCCCCTGGCTTGGAAAACAACTCAAATAGCAAGATGGTCTGCAAATTGAAGAAGTCTCTATATGGTTTAAAGCAATCTCCTCGTGCTTGATTTGACAGATTTGCTAAAACCGTGATAATGAATGGGTACCATCAGTGTCAAGCAGATCATACTTTATTTGTAAAGTCCTCTCCCGGAAATCTGATTGCTATTCTAATCGTATATGTAGATGATATCATCTTAACAGGTAATGATGCAAGAGAAATTCTCAAACTCAAAAAGATGCTCTCAACAGAATTTGAGATCAAGGATCTTGGAACTCTCAGATACTTTCTGGGAATGGAGGTAGCTCGGTCTAAAGAGGGAATTGTCATATCCCAACGGAAGTACATTCTAGACTTGCTTAATGAAACAAGCATGCTTGGGTGCAAACCTGCTAAGACGCCCATGGACTCCAACAGGAAGCTTAATACAACTGAGGAAAGTGTTCCTGTTGACAAAGGAAGATATCAGAGACTTGTAGGTAAGCTCATCTACCTATCACACACAAGACCGGACATTGCATATTCTATTGGCATTGTGAGCCAGCACATGAACAATCCAAGTGAGGATCACTTAGAGGCAGTGACTAGAATTCTGAGATACTTGAAGACAACTCCGGGACATGGTTTATTCTTCAAGAAATCTGAAAGCCGAGATGTAGAGATCTACACAGATGCTAGTTGAGCAGGAGAATTGACTGACAGGAGGTCTACAACCGGCTACTGCTCGTATGTCTGGGGAAATCTTGTCACATGGAGAAGTAAGAAGCAAACCGTGGTCTCCAAAAGCAGTGTAGAATCCGAATATCGTGCTCTCGCATTGGGAATTTGTGAAGGAATGTGGCTTCAGCGGCTATTAAGGGAACTCAAAGTTGAGACCAAAGACATGATCAAGATGATGAGTGATAGCCAAGCAGCCATTAGTATTGCCAAGAATCCCGTTCATCATGACAGAACAAAACATATTGAGATTGACAAACACTTTATCTCGGAAAAGGTCAACAATGGCATCGTGGACCTAAGATATGTTCCAACAAGATTTCAAATTGCTGACATTCTCACCAAAGCACTTCCAAAGGAAAGCTTCGAAGAACTAAACTCCAAGCTTGGTCTGTACAATATATACAAACCAAGCTTGAGGGGGAGTGTAGAATTATGTAATTAGTTAGGAAATATCTATATTTATCTTTTAGTATTTGTTTCCTTAATTGTTTAGGTTTAGCGTATTATGTAGCTTTCCTATTTTGGTGGGATTCCTAATTTAAAGGGATTCACTTTATGTTTCTCCTTCCCTAGAATTGTGGACTGGAATGCCGGCCACTCTAGGTTAAATACTAGGTTGTAATTCATTCATAATTAATGAGAAAAGAAGATTATTCTCATCAAAATCTTCACTTTTAGACAGTACATCATAAGCATAACCTACCTTTGAATGGGCCCAAATGGAAAGGCATTGAACCTGGAGACACCTGAATTTGGATCTCTGACTTTCAAGAGCCTTAACAGCTGCAGAAATCTCTATAACTATAGGCTCACTGGAGTCAGATCGGTGTTGTTGTGATGACTCAGCTGAACTGCCCTTTGAAGATAAACCAGGAGAATTTTCATTGGGTACATCTTCGCTTGTTACAGCTCCAGCTTTCCTCAATGCTTCCATTATTGTGGGCTGCCGGAGTTTGTCATTTGAATCATAACTTGTGCTCGCCTTTGAGAGCTTCTTGCGTGTCTTCTTGTTTGAAGAGGTGTTATCATTCATTTTATTCTGCTCACTTTTCTTTTCCATGTGCCTCACATGATAAATTGGGTTTAACAGTGAAGACCCAGAGTGATTCACATAAATATGGAGCTCAGGAAGAGATATAGTGCTCCGGCCAATAGAATAGTTTAATAAAGTTTCAAGAAATCTACATTTTAGAGTAATTTCCATTAGTACTTTACGTAAGAAAAGATCATACTAAGGAGGATGTAGTAGAACTACATCTCATATAATGAAAACTCAAGTAAAAATCAAGTAGTTTTGTTTTCACTGAGGCAAAATGAAACACAAGCCAAAATATAGGGTGTGTTAACATCAATGCTCGAGACAGGAAATTGACTGTGGTTAAATTGATTTTTTGTGATGCATCAAGAGGTGGTAAATGTCACCCGAAGGCTCAGCCAATGTCGAAAGTGATTTTTAGCTCATAATTCATATAACAATACTTAGAGAATCAAGGCATCTTTTGGCATATTTGAGAAACGAAGAGGCCATAACATTCTGGGGCTGCAATGTAAAAGTTTTCTTTCATTTTTTCCCCCTTTTCTTTCATTACGAGGCTCATTATTTGAACTTTATATGTTGTTAATTCCCCCAAAACTTCCCCAATATGCCAACAAACAAACTATTTTACAGCACTGCAAGTAATGATCATGAGCTTCAAAATATCAACGGGAACCAAGAATTAATCAAACTTCAGAATTGCAGTTGATAAAAGAACGATGTGAATGCTCAACAATGTTTTAACATGAATTGAAAATGCTTTTAACAAAGTTTTCCTGAGAAGTGGAGAATCCAGAAACATACACAAGGTTCCTCAATCGCTTCAGTAGCTTTGAAATTATACCCTCTTTTGTAGCCTGACTTGTACATTCAAATCCACCAGCAATTTGTGTACAGAAGGCATTGAGCTATATTTGGAAGCAAAAGAAATAACCGATCCTTGTATATTTGAGATAATAATAATACTAAGCCCATTGAAACATGAAGGTACCATTATTCATTCAATAACTTACTAGTTCACGTATCCAGTTTGCTGCATAATAGATAGAGAGACAGACAACCTGTTTCTGTTCTCCAGTCAGAGACTTCCAGCCAGCTTCAAGAAAGTACTGGGTAATGCATAAGCCAAATACATATCAGCACAAATGTCATGCCCACTTGCATTCACAAGCTACACAAGTATAGTCAGGAAATAAGTATGAGAGCGTTTATCACAAGTAACAACAAATGATGACTGTTAGACTAATGTCACGTGAAACAGCAACAGCAGAAAGGTTTCTGGAGGATCTCCCAGTGCGGTACAGATACATGTCAACGTAACTTGAATGTTTAGCTGGTGTAAAACATGTAAATGATGAGGCGGATAAGTAAACCAGATGTTGTTCATATTAACATAGCATCACAGTTGTCTAACCTTAGATGAAGGAAGGTGCAATGGGCAGCCAAGTAGCGCATCAATTCCTCCAAGAGATCCTTGATTTGTCAACCTCTCAATCTGAAAATTGACAGAAAATGAGAGGCCTATGACATAGCTTCAAAGAATACTCAGGGCTTGAGATCATGCACTTACAGCAGCTAGTAAAAGGAAGTGAGCAGGAAGGACTTGTAAAGAAGTAGACCTGCATGCAATACAACTTTCAAGCGTCCCAACAACAAAAACATATCAGAGCATGAATTAAGGAAAAAAAAAAAGAAAGAAAAATGCATACTGCAAGGAAGAGGAAACCAATGGCAATATGTTGAGACAAATAGGTGAAATATCACCGTCCAAGTTCATCCATAGCTCCCCTATGAAAAGAACAAGAGAAACTTTAATTCACACTGTTTAAGCTCTTATATATAATGACATGGAACATATAGTCACAAACTATTAGAAAGCAGAAAGGCAAGTTTCATCACAATATTCACCTTCTAAACCACAATATGACTCCTTCATAGGCAATTGTCCACCATCTATATCCGACAGAAACAAGGATTCAAATTCTCCTACATGCCTTCCGATCCTACAATAAAGGTATATGTTTCTTTTTAAAACCAAGAAAAGCATAACTGTTAATAACTTTTGAGATACAGGCCTCAGGCTATTATAATCAACTGACCATTCTATAATAGTTGGATGAAGAGCTTTACAGTCCATCAACTCTGCCAGTTCATCATAAAACATGACCAAAGATAAGGGTAACTGTTTGCAAGAGTCCAAAGACGTTTTCAAGAGTTCCAAAGCCTCCTCACAATTTGATTTCTGTTGAAATGGCATCGAGAATCACAATGCACATTTTAAAGTACAGAATTGAAAATTATAGAAGACAATAAGCTGACAGATATTAAGACAAAAAACAATCTCAACTTACTGCTTTTTTTCCCAAAAGAAAAAAGCATATGCCAGTGTTTACCATCAATATGAAGGACAGTTACAATATATTACCCGTAAAAACAATACACGACTCAATTGCTAAGCATTTGCATACTGAATACTAAAAATGTTATAAGCCAAATTTTCCATACAGACACATACAACTAACCATAACAAAGATTGGTTCTAAATTGTGTATGTGATGTATGTTATGCTGTGCGAGTGTATTATAATTGTCAAGATTGGTTGTTTTCCTATTGGACCAGAAAAAAATTTAGCTTATTTCCAAACAGCCTCAATAGGAAAATGCTAACCTTCGGAGCAAGTTTCAGCAAAGTAGCACTTTCATTGAAAAATAAAAAATAAAAATAAAGAGCCTTATGATCATGTGTTTGCACCAAGAGGTCCATGACCCTCCAATAGTGTTAAAACCAAGCACTATCTGCACTAATTAGGAATTACGCAACAAGAAATGAGAGCAAATGATCAATCAACTGATATTGGATTGGACCAGCTCACTTAGCTAACTTAGCACTCCCTCTTTGCTGGCATCAGAAATTCCCACTGCCACGTTGCCTTCCAACTTAACATTCTTACGCATATTTCTAACATAAGTGAATCTCAGGGGAGGCTTGGCAGGCCCATCAAATAGTTAAACAAATTTCAAGCAGTAGTTGAAAAAAATGCCATTTATGTTATATTCTCAAATGCTTGATATCAGAGTTTCACATTTTATTAGCTGTTATACGCTTATAGCAAAGGATCCTCCTTATTAAGAGATGCATAATGGAAGGCGGATGTTTAAGACACACAAAACGGAAGGCAATCGATACTTTTTATCAATTTAGCCACACTAAAACCTTTCCAATCCCATATTCATACTAATGAGTCATTGACTAATGTTTTATAGCCTCCCTCAAACAATTAGTATGCTTATCTGTACCGATAAACTAAATTCACATAAGTAATCTATGGGAGGTCCAAGTTTGATCACTTATCACCCTAGAGCAACCAAACCAAGAACCTATGTCCATCCTCATTTACATCATGCGAGGTCACAGCTTCACAGGTATGGGTGTTCGACCACCATTCACCATTGACAATGCAAAGTTGAAAGGGTTTTTGGCTCTGTCAGTCCTTGAACTATTAGCATTATTATAGTTTTGCCTAAACTTTTTTTGGCCGATTTGTCTTGAACTCAAGTTTGTTGGCTGTTTTGGTCCCTAACCTTAAAATTTATGATGCACTTCAAAGTTTAATGAATGTAATCACGTGCCTATTGTGTAATAGCTTGAACTTTTACAGAAATAGTCACATATGGTGCAGTTCTCTTCAATTGCATTGAGAAGCCATAAAAATTAGAACATTTTGCACTTTGCGTGAGTATTTTTGTAATATTTTCAAGATATTACAAGATGGCATGTGACCAAGTCTGTTAAATATAAAACATTTATTGTTAATTTTGCAATTAGGGACCAAAACTGCCAAAAATATTAAATTCAAGGAGTAATTGGTTAAAATAAAAAGTTCAAGGATCAAACCCACTTATTGAAAACTTAGGGACCAAACCGCAAAATGAAACTCTGGATATAACCTGCAGCTATTTAGATTGTTGGTTGATATTGAGTTGGACCTCCAAATATGAAGGTTAGTTACACTAATGATATGAAGTTGGTAACACAATAATGATAGTATCACCTGAGAAACCGATGGAGAGGGATCATTATTTGCATCACCAAGACAGGAAACTATCTTTAGGGTGCCAATAAGGCCCATCTTCTTAAACTTGAAGTCTGTATGACCAACCTGCATGGTAGCAGCACGAAACCAATCAACGCTCCACTTTTAAGACCAATATCATGTCAACAGAGATACCAATTCAATAAGTTTATAAAAAAAAAATTTTTTTTTCCTTGCTGAAAAAAGGAAGAAACTAAAAAGTCCATGATACCTGTTTCCGGACTATCATCAATAGTTCATTTGCAAAAGCAGATCTGTATGAATCTGTGCTAGATCGAGCAAATAGTGCCAGTTGGCTAAAAACCTCATAGACCTGCACAATGGAAAACCTCATAGCCAATGAAGCCAAAATGATTTTGTTTTTTGTATGAAAATGGAAATGAACACGTTTTTAATCTCAGACAGAAATCATTCTCTCTCTTTCTGTGCTCGAGAGAGGAGAAAAAGAAAATAAAAAGTGAAAAACGACTAAAAGTCATTTTTTATTTCTCTCCCATTTTACACTAAACCAAAAAATCATTTTCATTTCCGTTTTTTGTCTTTAATTGTACCAAACGCCGTTTTCGAATTGTTTTCAGTTTTTCTTTCTCAAAAAATGTGAAAAACAAACACAAGAACAATTCTAAACACGGCACAAATGTTTCTTATAATCTTAAAGAAAGATAGTGCTACCTTGTGCAGATTTTCAACGTTAAATCCTTCCAAGTAATCCAATATGCCTGATTGCACAAGATAAACACATTATGAAGACCTTGGAAGCGAAATAGTTCATCCAAGTCCAACGAATTAATAACAAATATAGTACCACTAATATGAGGAGAAAGAGGAATCAATTCCCGTGCATAATCAGAGACCAGCAAACCCATGGTCTCCAGAGCAGAACTGACTGCATAATTAACCCCAGATCCCACAAGAGTAACTAGTGAACCAAGAACCTGCATATATACACATATGAGAATTTACAAAGTATAACATTTAGTTATTCGACTTAAGAAGAATAATAAAAAAACGATTCTCGAAACTACTTACTTCTTGTCTTGAATAAGAATCAGTGAATTCTTTGAATAGACTAGTATAAACACGGACGCCCAACTCCCTTGCTTTTTGTTCTTTGCATGTCAACAAATACTCAGACAAAGAAATAAATGATGGAAAATAATCCTGATAGATTGAGAGGGGAAAAGGTCGAAACATTATTTACAAAAACTCACAGAATTGCTATCTATGATACAAAACGTCGTCAGAAGATACCTGTACCAATTCCTTGAGCCCGCAAATACATTGATCAAACATAGTTTTTTGAATACAACCTTCAATGATTTTCTTCTTGAATATCTTTTCTACTTTCTTTTGCAGGGACTCTCCATTCATGTAAATGAGCATAAGCAGCCATATGTCAATGACTTTGTGATCTCGAGGTTTGTGAAGCGAGTTCAGTTCTTTCAAAATCTCCTGGCAAAGCATCTATGGGGAAAAGAAATTTAGGACACAAGTTAAGCAAAAGAAAAGTGGGGTAACGTTTCTTACGCAAACAACAAGGAAAGAAAAGAAATATACATTTTTAAATCGAAGACTTGATCTCAAGGCATCAAGAATCGGAGCCTCCGAGCCGTCCATGTGCGACTTGCCTTTGAGTTTCTTCTGATGCATTGCTTGAGAATTCGACAACCCAACAAACTTTAACTGTTCTCGTATCTGCGAGATTATTCTACCAAAATTCGCTGGTGTTGCTGAAAGCAACAGAAATCTAAGCAGAAATGGCATGTGTTCCGCATCAATTGTTCTTATGCATGATAATGCAATGGTGATGACCTTAAAATCAAAGAAAATTTCAAACTCAGATGCGATATAAAAAATAATGTCCAAGTACTTTCACAATCTCACTCTATTACCATTGTTTCTGTGAAAGAAATGAAAACACTCATGATAAAATCAGTATTTTTTTCTTTGCTGGTTATATCAGTATATTTATTAAGCAGAGAATATATTCGAAATCGCCATCTGAACACCATGAAATATCCTAACTCAGTTTTGACATAGTAATTGTAAGCGATGAGAACCTGTTCTTGCAACTGATCGTTTAAATTTAGATTTGAAAAGGAGTCGAGGACAGCGACAACAATGGCAGAATCCTCTTGAAGCACTATTTCTAGTGATTCAACCACGGTGCTGTTGCTGTGATCGCCGATAATCTCCGGCAACGAACCGATGATCTCTTTCTTCAAGTGCAGAGGGCAAATCGAAAGAACTTGCATCAATTTATCCGTGAAGGCATTAGGATCAACAATGAAATCAAGCCACCGGAAATGATTCACAATAAGCCTCGCAACGTCATCTTCAAGTGACATCGACGAAATTCCAGAATGCTGTGGATAAACGTGGAAATACTCCGGAAGTTTCTCGAGAAGCATGTTCTGAAGGTCCAATTGAATCGAAGGGACAAGCAGGAGATGTCGCATCAAGCTGTCGCTGGCGGAACCTAAGCCGTCGCTCTTCAAAGGAGCGAGAATCCTGGAAAAAAATATCAACAATTCAGAATCATTTTTCTCGTTTCTAAAACAAAATTTTCTAGGGAACCAAACAGGAATGGTCGGACCGACTCACCTGCGGAGATTTCTGGGGGACTGGATGTAGGAGGAGAGGCCGGCAAGGAAATCGGCGCGAAGAGCAGAGGCGTTCTCGGAAAAGGAGAAGGCGTGGTGGAGTTGGCGACGGAGCTTGTGGTGATCGGAGGGGATACAGGGGGGGCCGGATGGGTTGATGAGAGTGCAGCCGGCCTCGGCCAGAATGGCGATCATCCTTTCCGTCGATGGAGTTTCAACGGCGTCGTTTGGCGCGGCGGAGGCGGAGGTGGAGGTGGATTTGGGGATTTTGGGCGGAGGGAAGGAGGAGGAGGAAGGTCTTTTGCGAGAAGGGTTTTGCTTTTGAAGGAACGCCATTTTTGTTGGCTTGGAGTTGCAGATGGATTTTCTTCGGACGGAGGGGAAGCTTCTTTACGACGTCGTTCGGTGGCGTTCTCTGAAACTTTTTGGTTCTAGTGATGGTCTCTGCTTACGGGTAGAGAGAGAGAGAGAGAGGGGAGGGAATCAAAATGGGGCAAAATGGCGCCAAACTTCGGTTGTGGTGAAATTGCGAATTTGGATTTTTTTTTTTTTTTTTTAAAGGGTTAGGTGTCGTTTTCTAAATTTGAATTGAGACATCGGGTTATTTTGTTGGAGAATTCGTATCCTGATTCGAATCATGATTCATAATTTATTACAATATTTTTTTATAAAAAATACACGTAAATTAAAATGATTCTAATTTTATTTAAAATTTTTAACTGTAATAAAAAAATTAATGTGATATTTTATAAAAATTTTTAATTTTAAAAATTTGAAATTAAAACTCGAATGAATAAAATTTTAAAAAAAATCGCTTGCCTTAAAACGTCTTGTCGTTTAAGAACGTTTAAATTTGTGATAAAAATATTTGTCATTTGAGAGGGGAAACGACAAGAAATTCTCTTTTCAAAATTTTCGCCTATTTTTATATGAACAAAATTTGTTATTTATAAATGAAAATGGGCAATCAGTTACGATTTATGTAATTTCGTGTGATAAAACTTTTAATTTTATTTTTAGTTAGTATAAGACAAAAATAAAAACTATAGCTTTTCAGTGTTTGAAACCGCTCAATAGGTCAAAATAATTTCAAATTTTTTAACTAGTAATAAAATTATTAGAATGAAGTTTATATTATCTTGTTAAAACTTTGATTCAAGTTTCAAAAGTATATTGAAAAGAGTTCTTTTAAAAAGTTCTTTTTGCCCTATCATTCAAATACTTTCACACGAAGCTTTTAAATTTAACAAGTCAAAAAATAATTTTTAAGAGTTCGTTTATTTTACTGATTCGAGTTTTTTAATTTTAAATTTTACACTTAAAAATTTTAAAAAAATATCACATCAAATTTTTTTTACTACAATTAAAAATTATTAAAAAATATCACATCTTAAATTAAAAATTAAAATGTGCAAAACAAATGAGTCCTAAGAATTTCAATCAAATAGGTACAAAATGTAGCTTTAACTACAAACTTTTTTTTAAGAGCTGAAACTCTTCTGACATATCAATTTGAATTTACTTATCTGGTGATAAACATGGGAAAGTCTATGATATGGTGAGCCAATTTTCTCTATTAAGATAAATTTATTTACACCCTCAAATCAAAATGAACGGCCCAAAATGATTGGTCTCATAGAAACTAAAATGGATTCTACAACACCTGATTTAATTTTTTTTTTTAAAAGAAAAATCCTAAAAAAACCCTTCTTCTCCGTGCACGGCAACCACCGATACCGAGTTCCCGGCGTCGATTCTTGACACCACCATACCATCAGAAAGATCTTGACGAGCTGAGAACGTTGACGAGGTGAGAACATTGACGTGCCGTGCAACCTCTATTCGCCGGAAACCGCCGCAATCGCCGGCGAAAAGTCCGAAAACAACCGAATTTCAAAGCGGCGTAACTTCGCCATCCGACCTCCGATCGAGGTGATTCCGGTCCTTATGGACTCACAACAACGAGACGAGCAAAACCGATACAACATCACCTGTCGATTCTCGCCGGAACACCGCCGCCGGAGCTGCGTAATTTAGCCGCCGCGACACTCACATTTTTTCAGCTCCCCAGCCGCCGTTGGCGACACCGCTGGTGTCATTGAACTCAGGGAAGTGCGTGGGGCAAAACCCACCACCTATTTGGAGGTTACCGCACCGCACGCCTGAAATCCAAGTCCGTTTTGCCGCCGCCATGGGTGAGGATGTGCCCGTTGTTTCCGGCGACCATATGTCGTATTGTTGCTACCAAAGTGCTCAGAGGGTCATGGGAAACGAAGCCCTCCATCAATCTCGAGGTTCCACCGCTGGAAAGGTGAAATCCAAGACGCCGATTTTTTTCAAAAGCTTCAAGTCCGATCTGCTACTTAAGAGGCCGAATTGGTCAAAAATTGACCCCACCATTGGACTCAGGAGGGTCAAATTAGGGAGGTAGGTCCAAGCTCCGCCGTCGAAATCACCTCCACCCGCCGTCGCAGCCAGCCGCCGCCGTCGCCGGAGGTGGTCGGAGGACACCGGACGATGTTCAGATATGGTTGTTTTGTAATTTTGTTGGATTTGAGTTAAGATTCAGTGCGAGGGAAAACATGTACACCCTCACTCAGATTAAATGTCGACCGGTCAATCGTACCATACCGGTGGAGAAGGTGAGTCCCCTACCATAGACATCCCCGATAAACATTGGGGCTATCTTGGAATCCAATCAATGACTTTGTCAGCACTTCAGTCTTCAAGTGTCAATATGTTGGTTATAATCTTTTTGTCAAATTACTGAGTTAGATCATTCTCTTTCTTAGACAAATATTTTGTTTTATGGTAGAGCAACTATTGTATCGGATCGAATGATTATTGACTAAATGGCCAAACAATATTAACAGATATGAATTATTTTCCTTTAATATAAAGGAATAGCTTGTAAATTCAATAACAACTTAGAATTCGTACTCTTTTGTTTTTAAATTATGCATTGTCATTGAAGTGATCTACATCGATCCTTAACTTACAATAAATAAAATAAAGTAACTTGAATGTCTCTTCAGAGGCATCTAGATCTTTATACTCCAATACTAGCCACCACAATTGAAACCAATCTTAATTCAACTTTATGGAAATATAAAGCATAAGAATTTTAGAAATTTAAGGCATGTTCTTTTGTCCAAAAAACTCAAAAAAAGACGACTCAAGTTTCAACTTTATTCAAGTTCACGTTCTTTTAAGTTTCAATTTTATTCAATTTTATTCAATTTTACTCAATTTTATTCAAGTTCTAACTTCAACTCAAGTTATAACTCAAATTCAACTCAAAAACTACACTCAAGTTACACTCTAAAAGAACAACCCCTTAAAGCATTCACTTTACTGGTATGAATTCAAGTAGCATTTCAAGTTCTAAAGTCCTCAAATCATTTAATTATAAACATACAGACGTGAGCACCATGACAAGTACAAAGTCTGACATAACAATCTGACAAATTCAACATACATGCTTAAGAGAGTTTTCAGGAGATACACCTTTAATTTTCTTAAAAAGAAAAAGAAAAGAAAAGAAAAAATACAAGGCTGGTACTTAGAAACTTTTTTTTTTTTAATATACAAATGCGCCCATCCAGAATCAAACTCAGCATCCTCCTTTAATTCAAGTTTCAACACAAGGGTCTACTTTCCAATGTTTGGATATTAAAAATGTTCACAAATTTCCCAAGAAGATTCATTGGCCAAAGAGGACGATAGTATAGAGATACGGTAGTACAATTACCTTGCAATAGGGGATAATTCTGTATTCACACTCATAGTGATCAACTCAATTGAATCTTTTGATTCAGTATTATAGCCATCATTTCTTCTTGCCATCTCTAATACTAAGCACTCCTTTAAATCCATCACAGCATTTGTCATAGTTGGCCTTTTAGCAGAGGTTGGGGACACACAAGCCATGGCTATCTCTAATGCTTTCCAAGCAGAGTTTGAGCTGAAGTCTCCTTGTAACCGTTGATCAACAATATCTTTGATTTCGCCGTTTTGAAGCATGGAAGAGACCCACTGAATTATGTGGGACCTGTCATTTATTTTCACAAGAACGCTTCGGCTTGTAATTATCTCTAAAAGAACAACTCCGAAGCTGTAAACATCACTTTTTTCATTTAACCAATTTGATATGTAGTACCTACATATAAAAAAAAAAATGTTACTAATCTACCTATAGAAAAGTGGTGCATGTAGTGTTCTTTTCAATATATTTATTAAGATACGGTTTTAAATTGTTGGATCACATCATATTAAAAAAAGCACGACACTTGTTTATCAATGAAAATATGCTGGTTTAGAACTACATGTTTCTCGAAAAATACTTACTCAGGGTCAAGATAACCAGGAGTACCGGCCACAATGGTGGACACATGGGTGTCACCTTCTGCTGGAAAAACTCTGGAAAGACCAAAATCAGCAAGTATGGCTTGGAATCTCTGGTTAACTAAGATGTTCGAAGGCTTTATATCTCTATGGATTATAGGTGGTTTGCAACCATTATGCAAATACTCCAATCCTATAGTATATACACATGAAGTCAATTTACCTAAAAAAGTGAAAGCTTACATATTATGTTACAAACACATCCTCTCCATTTCTTACCTTGTGCTGCATCTATAGCTATTCTCAGTCTCTCTTCCCAAGTCAAGATATAAGCACTTTTATCTGCATGCACAAGTATCCGACGGTTGAATTGTATAAACAACTAAAATCTTTTAATCTAATCTTTTTTTTTTTTCTAATTAGTATAATGCATTCATGTATATTGTCTGTACTCAACTATTTTGCCATACAATTAACTTATGATGTGTACAATAAATATGTTACAATTTATTATGACATGCCTGGTAAAAATTTGCTTTGTCTTTTTGGTTAAATAGAATGGTACATGAAATATGATGAATAAAACCCTTTTATCTTCATGCACAAGTATCCGACGGTTGAATTGTATAAACAACTAAAATCTTTTAATCTAATCTTTTTTTTTTCTAATTAGTATAATGCATTCATGTATATTGTCTGTACTCAACTATTTTGCCATACAATTAACTTATGATGTGTACAATAAATATGTTACAATTTATTATGACATGCCTGGTAAAAATTTGCTTTGTCTTTTTGGTTAAATAGAATGGTACATGAAATATGATGAATAAAACCTGATAAATGCCTTCCTAAATTTCCATTAGCCATGTATTCATAGATAAGCCCTGTATAGGTGCCTTCGTAACAGTATCCAACAAGGCTAGTCAAGCTCCTGTGATGAACTCGCAACAGAAGTTTGACCTGCTCAATCATTCCCAGATCACATATTGACACAGAAAAGTTTTTAAAAACAAATGAAAATCCTTTGGTAGGATAAGGAAAATATATATAAAAAGAAAAATCCTACTGATAAGTACAATTCTGAACTGTCCGATTTTCATCAAGTTTTGACACTTTAAAATTGTGTTTTACAGGTGGGATTTTTTTTTTTTTTTTCATAACCTGCATGCCATAGAATTTTCCAAAAAAAAAAAAAAGAAAAATTCAAAAAAGAACATACTAGGTGCAAAAACTACTAATACCTCAGCTTGAAATTCCTTGTTTCCTTGTGCCGATGTTGGAGAGAGCATCTTCACAGCGACTTGAGTGTCATTCAAGTAACCATGGTAAACAGTTCCAAATCCTCCTTTTCCTATGACTCTTTCAAAGTTGTTGGTAATTGTCAAGATGTCAGAATAGGAAAACTGATGGTTTTTTGGTTCCAGAGACACAATCCTTTTCAAGAGATTGGTCTTATTTGCCTTGCCAACTGATAAGATCACATCATTAGTATCATGCATATAATGAGAAGTTTTCTTTATGTTTTGGCATGATAAATTAAGTGTTTGCCTATTCTATGGATATTTGAAGTTTACTAAATAATCCTACCTTTCTTCCTCTTCTTAATTCACCATGTCAACATAATCAAAGTGATTAAGAGGCCAATAGTTGATCCAGTTGACACTGCTATGGGAATAACATTCGTCTTCTTCTTCTTCTTCTTCTTCTTGCACGGATCCGAAGAACAACCTTTCAAAATTTCATCCACACTACAGGCGATGCAATGAAAAGGCTTTTAAAAAGCTACAAATCGATTTCTTTTCTTTTATGTCAATCAATCTTCAACAAGAAACATAAAATAAAATAAAATAAGACAAGTAGAAGAAATAGACCTCAGAGCCACTGTCTGATCTTTTAATCAGACCATCTGGAAGTGGACCAGTAAGATTATTCTTCCTCAAGTCTCTGAAATGAATAACTAGAAAAATATGATTTCTTACCTTTTTTGTCTTATCAAAGTAACTAAAATTAGAGATTATGAACTTACAGAACTTGTAGAAATCGCAGATCGGAAAGAAAATCGGGCACTTGTCCAGTTAATTTATTATTTGATAAATTCCTGACATGAAATTTGCAATTTAGGATTGGCTATATTGCAGTACCGTTTTTCAGCTATATCTAGAATACGAAGTTTGACAATAAACTTATGTTAGATTGAGAGACTGACAAGGTGTTTAGCATACTAAGACCGGATAGAGAGGGATCTATTTGTCCCGTCAACCCACTAGATGATAAGTTCCTGCCAGTAATTATAATTAATTTCTAGTTAGAAGTAAATCAAGTTATTAAAAAAGCAAAATACTGTATATAATCTATTGTAAATTAATTTAAAGCTGAGAAACTTACAAGGATATAATTCTAAGTGGATCACTACCACTATAATCGCAATCAAGACCTTCCCACAAGTAATCTTTTGGTGCGCATGGATCTCCTTGCCAATTTCTTCAGTCCATACTTGGACTTGATACTCATCATAGCATTAACTGAACAAAATATAAAAAATATGCAGATATATATCATATAGAGTTTGAAAATGTTTGAGCAAAGCAAATAGAATTGAGGAAAAAAAAAAAAAAAAAAGCTATACCGTCTTGCTCGTCCGTTTGTGATTCTGTCGTTTCTAGCGCCATATAAACCTCTAGGCCATTGAGAATGGGTGGAAGGGTTGACTTTGGAGTTCTAAAGATAGAATACTGAATTTTGTCTCCACTTACTGGATAAATGCTATAAGCAGTTGTTGAATACAAATAACTTGGAGATATAGGTCCAATAAAATACTCCCCGTTTTGTGTTATGTTAAATTCCCTTGTTTGGTTCGGTTGGAGCTCTTCAACTTCAGCAAAGTGCATGTAGACATAAAACTTGGAAGTGGGATTTTCAGGTGTCAAGTAAAAGTCCAGAGAAACACTGGAATTGACTGGTGTCACTGCAGTTTCCATGACTGAAGATGGTGGGTAGAAAGCAGTGAGAGCGTTAGCATCCACGGTAAGCGAGGTGGATAAGAGCTTGCAGTATACGAAGTTAAACGGCCACCAGATTCGGTCATACACATCGTCTTTATACCTGATGTTATGTCATGTAACAAAGGGATATATGACTCAATATTAGCCTTTCTTGGAAACTTTAAAAAAAAAGGAAAAAAAAAAAAAAAAGGAAGAGAAGTACCTGATTGATGTGTTGGTTGCAGAACCAATATCCAGCCTTTCAAAAAGTAGTAATGATGCATAAGGAGTTCTATAAGTCGAATTTTGCGGAGGCCTAAGCTCCAATGCTGATATGAAAGGAGTTCCATAGCCAGTATTAACAAGGCATACAAATATGTAATTTGTATTTGGGATATGAACAATCTCCATGGTTGTGATCATAGATTCATTGGTTAGTTTCACAGTATTCCATTTATTAACTCCGACGAACAGGTCAAATGTTGGCACTGTGCCATTCTGATCATAATTTGCATACAAGAATCTTGCTCTGATCAAGTACTTGTTGCCCTTTGCTTGAGCAGGCTTTAGGGTGTAACAGTTTTTCATCCCATCGGGGGAAGCTTCTGACATTCCAAAATTGCTTTTGAACGAAACTGTTCTGATATTCGGGTGATACACTCCTGCTTACACCGGTGTCTATGAAGGATTCATCTGAAATGTAGTTTAGACCTGTTGTCTGGTCAGTATAGCTAGAATCCTCTGATATTCCACAATCCAAACTGATGAAGCCTGCAATATATAGTGTAGTAAGTGTTCCTTTAGTAAGATTTCGAAGCAGACAACAGCTGATAATATTATAGATATTTTACACTATATAAAATCGATTATAACTTTGTACAGCTTCAAGAACCTGATTGATCCTGAGCGTGAACCAAAAGTATGAAAGCAAGAACACCGACGTATAAAAAGTACTGAAAATGTTTCAACATCTTAGCCTCTGGTGATTCTTTCCTGTAAGGAAATTGAACGGTATAGTCTGAGGTATTTACGAAACTTTAGCCGGCCTTGTGGCCATACAAATCACAAACATTAAACAATATTTGTGGTATTCTAATGATGTAATCATTTTTTAGATAGATGGTATGTATTCTTATTCAGTCGAGTTTGACTGAATTATTCTTTAGCTTTGAATTCGTCGTTAATGCAAAATGCAAGTTTGATTATAGATCTTTAAAATCACATTATATAATGTTAAGAACATCAACCTAAATCTAAACTCTTGTGTACCAACTCATGTAGTATTGATTTTTCATTTTTATATTGGTAAGTATTTAAAATATTATCATGTCAATTAATGATAAAAAATTACATCTACCAACTAAAAAATGTCTGACATTTATCAGTTGGTATCTAAAAGTTAAAATATGAATGAATGTCCCTAACATTATTATATATAAGCACTCGTTGACAACTCAAAAAATAAATAAAAGTAAATAAATAATAAACCAAAAAAAATGACAATGGAAAGAATTTACGACAACATTAGAAATAAAAAATAATGCAAATAGTAAAAGAACATAAGCAACACTGAGAGAGAAAAGGCCCATATCATTAGTTTTTTATAATAAAAATTAATTACATAATTAAGTGTATCATAATTATAATCGTCTTTTTTTACTATTTTATACAAAGTCTTATTATAATAAAAGTTCTAATTTAAAGATGGGTGTAGAAATAGAACCACTGATTATATATAAGGTAAATGCAGTGAATAGCATATTTTTATTCCTAATGGAAGTAAATAGCATATCTTTTTAATGTTGATAAATTATAACATATTTCCTCCACGATCCCTCTCTCTCCTCCACGACGGCGGTTTTGTGTTTTTGGTTTCTCTGGGATTGATTTTTTTATTGGTTTCTCTGGTATGTTGGTGGTTGTAAGGAGCTGGTGGTGCACTGGTGCTCTCTCTCTCTCTCTCTGTGATTTGTTTGTTCTTTCTTCACATTTGGTGCCGCCGAGAAGGTTGCCGCCGGGAAGGGCTGGGCTAGAGGTGGAATTTTGCGGTTATTTTCGTATGGGTTAGGGTTAGAGTTAGATTTAGGAATTTAGGGGATGTTTGGTTGGATGATTCAAACTATGATTTGAATCATGATTCATGATTTATTATAGTATTTTCTCTCATAAAAAATATACGTAAATCAAAAATAATTCTAATCACATGATTCTAATCCATAAACTAAACGTCTCATATAATTTAAGGCCCTTTTTTTTTAATGTTGTATATACTTAAAAATAACATATTTATTAGAGGTTTGAATATGGTAAATATTGTATCTATTTGTAAATAATTTAGTAATTATAATTTTAAATATGATAAATATTGTATTTATCGTAAATATTTTAGTAGTTACAATTTAAAATTTGATATTTATAAGAAAATATGATATTTATCGGTAAATATAGTGTTGAGTAGTTACCGGAGTTAGTGGTCTAATTTTTGTATAAATATGATAGTTACTAGTAAATATGATATTTATTGGTAAATACGGTATTTGTCGATAAATACAGTGTTAAACGGTCGCCAGAGTCGGTGGCCAGATTTTCATATGAATATGTTAGTTACTAGTAAATATGATATTTACTGATAAATACGGTATTTACTAATAACTACAGTATTTACTAGTAAATATAATATTAAACGGTCGTTAGAGTCGGTATTTGAATTTTCAGATAAATATTATATTTACTAATAAATACAGTATTTACCGGTAAATACAGTGTTAAACAGTCACCGGAGTCGGTAGCGGGATTTTCGGATAAATATGATATTTACTGGTAAATACAGTATTTATTGGTAAAGACGATATTTACCTGTAAATACAGCATTAAACGTTTGCCAAAATCGATGGTCAGATTTTCAGGTAAATATGATATTTACTAATAAATACGGTATTAAATAGTATATACAGTATTTACAAGTAAATATAATGTTAAAAAATTGTCGAAAAACAGTCATCGGACGCCAAAAAATAGTTGCCGAAGCTTATCGCTAAAGATGGATGCCGGCCGCGAGTCCCAGCCATAGTGGACTTAATATAATCAACCTATTTAAAAAAATGCTATAATTTACTATTTTTTTTAAAAAAAAAAAAGATGCTTAAGGGGGAGAATTGAAGTGAAAAAGGAAATTTATAAGTATTTTTAAGTTAATAATATTTACAACTTAAAATATCAAATTATGCTAATTTTTCTTCACTCCGTACTTTGACTTGATGTTCATCATGGTATCAACTAACATTTTTAAGCCAAAAAATAAATATTAGTAAGAATAATAACATATATATAACACAAGTTGTTATTATAAATACTAATAAGAACAATGTTATAAGACATCAATGGTGTTAAGCACCACCTATTAATAGAAGGTGGATCTCATAGCATGGGGTTATAACTAAGACTCACCTTATTTTATGCTATGTTTATTAGAATAGATAGAAAAGAGGAATGAAGGAGAAGTAGAATACCTAAGTAATGAAGTAAAATAGTTTTTTCTCATATTATTTAGTAGAAGAGAAAGAAAAGTGAAAAGAAAATGTCAAATCTAAGACATTTTATGATAATACCTCAATACAAATAAAAATATGATGAATGGTGAAGGTTAAAATTATTATTTTACACCTCATTTGTTTGTAAAATCTTTTTCCTCCAATTTTCTTCTCAAAGTTGGAATGATTAAAAATTGGTGGGTCCTATGGATTTTTATTTTCTTTCCTTCCTCATTTTCTCTTTACCAAACAATCTAAAATTCTATTTTCTTCTTCAAAATCCATGCTCTATTTTCTTTCCTCTCATCTTTTCCACCCTACCATACATGTCGTTAGTGGCATTGCTTAACACCAGTTGTGCCGCTAAGCATTTTTCAATTATTAACTAAATAAAGAAAACACCTTAAATAGTATTTCATACCATCCTGGTCATCTGTTTGTGACTGAGAAATTCTGGAGAATATAAACCTCAAGGGCATTAAGGATTGGTTGGAGAGTTGATGTTTCAGTTTGGATAAGATCATAGTCAATTCCAGAACTCTCCATTTTCGTAGACGTTGAACTCTCTAGACTGGTTGGCTTCAAGCTTTTCGAGCTCCGCAAAGTGCATGTAGACGTAGTATTCCGGGGTCGGACTCTCCGGCATCATGTAAAACGAGAAAGTAGTGCTGGTGGCGTTTTCAGGTGCCATAGCCGTGGACATAACCGAAGATGGGGGTTGATAGGTGTTCTTCGCATTGGCGTCTACCGTAAGCGATGTATTTAGCACTTGGCGGCCAACAAAGTTAAAGGGTTCCCATATTCGATCATAAACATCATCTTTGTATCTGATCAAAGACATGTTAATTAGCTCCAACACGTTTTCTCCTTGAATTTTTAGCATCGTAATTACATGTTCTCCTTTTCATTTTTACATATTTTTCCTTCAAATTCCATTAAATAACGCGACATAATATAGTTGATTAGATAAAGGTGAAAAATTGAACCTTACCAAATTAAGAGAATTTCTTTAGGAAACATTAAAGTAGTAGGATCAAGCTTTTAAACTAATATTGTAAATTATGGTACGTATGACATGTCGCATATATATTCTCTAGATTGTGTGTGGTATGACAATACTAAATATATATATATATATATTCAAATATATATATAATCAGCTAGATATAAAATAAAATAGGTTTTAAGATATTGATTGAGGATTAGAAACTTATGAGAAATAATTAAAGTAGTTCCCATACCTTATTGGCTCGTTAATTCTTGAACCTATATCCAAGCGTCTGTAGAGAATTGCGGCTCGAGCCGGAGTATATGTGGAGTTCTTCAAAGGTCTAAGCTCTAGCGCAGATATAAAAGGTGTTCCATGGCTAGAATTCACTAGACACATGTTAGGTCCGTTTTTATCCTGGTGTCATAAGTGGTGTTGCAATACTTTACTGTAACACTGTTTTGTGACAGCAAATCTGAAATTAAACCAGCAAGGCAAAATGCAGGAATGTAAAGAATACCAGAAAAATGATATCGCAGTTCGGTGCGCACACCTACTCTGCGGGGTCACGCCTAAATAATGAACAATCCACTAAGTTCAAAGAGATTACAAACACCAATCGGATTTATACACCCAAAGACTCCCTCCTTGACGTTGTCGCCGCCGTATCGAATCTCCTTAATGGCATTATCCAGCGAGCACAACTCGTCTTCAAAACTGCAAGGCGAAATCCCTTCGGCTGGCAGTGCGCTTTCTCTCGAAAGCACTTTCTCCCGAAAGCTTATAATCCTTCTCCCGAAAGACGATCTTCAATCAACACATAAACACTCACTCTCTCATAGACTTTTTCTGAATATTTCTTCTATAAAAACTTCCATGGCCAGAATTCACTGGACACATGTTAGGCCCGTTTTTATCCTGGTGTCATAAGTGGTGTTGCAATATTTTACTGTAACACTGTTTTGTGACAGCAAATCTGAAATTAAACCAGCAAGGCAAAATGCAGGAATGTAAATAACACCAGAAAAATGATATCGCAGTTCGGTGCGCACACCTACTCTGCGGGGTCACGCCCAGATAATGAACAATCCACTAAGTTCAAAGAGATTACAAACACCAATCGGATTTATACACCCAAAGACTCCCTCCTTGACGTTGTCGCCGCCGTATCGAATCTCCTTAATGGCATTATCCAGCGAGCACCACTCGTCTTCAAAACTGCAAGGCGAAATCCCTTCGGCTGGCAGTGCACTTTCTCCCGAAAGCTTATAATCCTTCTCCCGAAAGACGATCTTCAATCAACACATAAACACTCACTCTCTCATAGACTTTTTCTGAATATTTCTTCTATAAAAACCATGCCCTAAATGTATCCTTTGATTACCCAATATTCTTTTCAAGGCACACCCACTCACGTACACAACTTATGTATATATAGTAAAGTTGCTCATGT